TGGTTGACAGGAAAAAGGTTCAAGTGTTTTCATCAAATGGAACATGACAGACGGTATTGATTTTGTGTGGAGAGGTCACGACATTTCACTCTCCATGGTTTGTGGGAAGTCCCAAAAAAAGAGAGAATGTGGAAGTAATTTTTTGGTACAGTTGTAGAGGCTGGAGTGGCAAAGGCACCCAAAGGTGCGTGATTGAGTGTATGTTGATGGTAGATGAAACAATGAGGAGTGGAGAAAGGAGAGTTTTAGTGGGTAAATTGTTGCAGAGATAGGTGCCTAGTTGGAGAGTGGGGCCAGCAGGATCATACAACAAATCCAATAGAATCTCACATGACAGCAGAGTCTGAGGAGGGTGTGTACGCATGCCCCCACTTGGAAGTAGAGAGGCTGTTTCCAAGGCCATTATGATCATATGGCGTTAAATAAAGAGAGTGACACTATTCATGCGTGATGGAAAGAGTCAGAATTGCATGACCTGTTGAACACATGTGGAGGGGAGAGTTGTCAAACTTGTGAACATTCTCACACTAGAAAGTTCCAACATCTTCTTCAAACAAGTGTGATTTATGGGTTAAGGGGAAGCCCCACATAAATTGAGTAAAATCATCTGAAATCAATTTAAGATGTAAAAACTTTGTTGCTAGGGGTAAGGTCTGCCTACACCCCCACCCTGGGACGTGGGATTTTATTTGGTTGGTTGTTTGCATCTAAAAACAATGCTCCTCCCGTCTCGGAATAAAGTTCAATTTTTGACCAGGTGTGGTTCTTGACAAAAGTGAATTTGTCCGATTGGAATTTATGTGGAGGAGAGAAATGATATGAGCCACGCAATTCGTAAAGTATCCATGGCGCCTCAGGAAGGGGGCAGGAGCATTGGTGATATGAGAGCCCTAAACAAGATAAAAAACTACCATACAAGGCATAAGACTAATTACATGCAAATCCATAAATATCAAGCAATGTGTGGAGACTGTCTAACAACAAAAACAACTGCACCGTGTGTTTTTGTAGGAATATATACTTTAATATAGTTATATACATTTAGTTTACACTACAAATTTAATGTCACTGACCCCAAGTAGTTGGGATTAAGGTGCTGATAATGATTATGATGGTGATGAATAACGACTGCAATTGCTTGTGATGTCTGTTTACTCTGTTCATCAAAGCGATGCTTTTTTTTTTTTGAATTTAGGAATACTTTGGGGGTTTAATATTTATCATCTTGTTTTAGGAAACTCTCTGGCAGTCTACTTTCTCAGATGGATGATCTCAAACACCTTGATGAAGAAGACAGTTGGTCCCTGACTTCTTCGTATCCTTTATACAGATTTTAGTTTCTTAATCTAATGTTCCAAGTCTCTCTTTGGAGTCTTTGCCAACCTTTTGCCAATTTGAAACTGTTTTTATCCTTAACATGAGTAGTACTGCAGCATCTGTGAGAACCATCAAATCCAAACTTACCGTCCCAGTAGCCCCATCCTTTAGATCTGCCGAACGTGTAGCAAGACGTAAGGAGGTATATTTAATAATGTTAGTAGAAAAAGGTTATATTGACACCTACCCTTGGGTGTCATAATATGACACCGTGTCACGTGAGATCCCTACGGTGCTCTATTGGGTCCCTGAAATGGGTCCTACCCCTCAATCCCTCCACAAACCTCCTCCTCAGCCCCTGGAAGTGGAACACACTATAATATTTGGGATTGGGCATTTCCAAGGAGGGATGGGGGGTTTTGTGGGTGGGGGGGGGAGTCGGATCCACTTTGAAGCACCACAGAGCACCATAGGGCCCGGTGTCATAATATGACACCCAAAAACAGTGTCAAATGAACCTTAATGTTATTACTATTATTATCAATTGATGAAGATGCTTGTGTCAATGTTTCTTCCATTTCCTTTTACTGGTTACACGTATAAATGTGTGGAAGTATATTTCCTTTCCGTTCTCAGTTCTATGAGAAGTTGGGTGAGAAACACAAAGCTTTGGAAGCAGAAAAACAAGAATGTGCTGCCAGGACCAAGGTACAACACTTCTAAGTAATGGAAATAATGCTTGTTTTCATTTGTGTTGTACAAATTGCAGCATTGTTTTGCATGTTTTGCTTCATTCATCTCTACTCTTCAAAGAAATTAGACTCTGAACCTATCTTCTCTGTGATTCATAGGAAGAGGAGGAAGCAGCTATTAAGCAGCTTAGGAAAAACATGGTTTACAAAGCAAATCCAGTTCCAAGCTTTTACCAGGAAGGGCCTCCTCCAAAGGCTGAACTTAAGAAGGTAAACCGTAGTTTAGGACGGACCCCTTTTCACCTGACATAAAAAAAGTGATCTGATCTGATTTTTTTAAGAATTTGTTTGGCTTGGTTGTTTATGGACTGATCTTGTTTAACTTTTTCTGTGAAAAATATATACTCCCTCTGTCCCAAAAAACTTTACGATTTTGACTTTTGCGGAGTTTTAAAGAAGTTTTGACTAGTGAAATGTATACGGGTAGACTTTATTTAGATGAGGGAGAAACCTTGTGAACCATGTGTTCATTACTTTAAGAAGCAGGTGGAAAGTGTTTTTTGGGATGCCCAAAAAGGGATAAACTGTATAACTTCATTAAAAAATTAGCTTCTTTTTTTTGAAATCCTGACTTCCCTTTTGGGATAAAAAGTTCTTAAAAAATTCTGTTAGATCAGCATTTGTGTGTCTATTTCTAATGTATTCTCTCCATCTGCTGGATTCTTTATAGTTATTGTTCATTTATGAAACTAAATCTTCTTTACATATTTTCAAAGCCGCTTTTTAATACAGTTTTCCAATACTCCCATTGTCTCCAAATAAAATTTCCAGCCACTATTCCAGCGTCACGATAACTTTTTTGTTTACTTGTGTGTTTTCATCAACCATTTTAGAAAACAACAGTCACCTCTTGTTAACTTATGTAAGCTTTATATTTTTATTTATATATCAACTTTCAAATAAAATGAATTAAAAGAAACTTCATTTCACCTTGTAAATCACTCCCAAACTTCTATAAACTGGAGAAAATAGCTGCACTCAAGCATCGCAAACCATGTGTATCCAATGGGACATGGGGAGTAACAGGAAAATACATGCAAACTCTGTCCTCATTGATCACAATTGTGTACATTATGTATTCAGTACATTTTATACATACATACATACATTGTGTGTGTGTGTGTATAATCTGTTTGACAAACTATACTCTTGTTCCAGCTACCTGTCACTCGGGCAAAATCACCAAACTTCACGCGAAGAAAAAGCTGTGGCGATGTCACCTCAAGGGAAGAAAAAAAAGATCCCGTCAGGTCAACTCGCCACAGCATTGGGGCATACAGAGAATATAACCCGACGCTATCTGCTCCCAAAAAGAAGGATCAGACAAGCGTTCAACGGAATACTACTAATGGGCATACCAACAGAGAGAAGGCCCCTTCCAAGTCAGTGAAAGGCACAAAGAAAACTTCAACCAAAAATCCAAAAGAAGCTCGGGCAAAGGACATGAAAGAAACTCCAGAGAATGGGACAGAGGAATGTCCCGTGAAAGAGATGAATGGAAGAAGTCCGACGAAGGAGATGATAGAAACTTCTCACGACGCGACTGATCAGCCGAGAGAGGATATTGTTGCAGTTCAGTCATGAAAAAAAGGTTGTGTCATTTTGGTTTTTTTTTTTTAATTTGTATCGGGAAAATAGTAGGGGTAATTAAGGTTTGCGTACACACACCCTCTGAAGACCCTGCTTTTTTTGTGGGAGTCTACTGGGTTTGTCGTTGTTGTTGTTGTATTGGGAAAAAGTTGTCTTTTTCAGTTTAGATCCTTACTGTAACTTGGATAGTTTCTCTTTATGGTCAAAAGCAAATGGCTGAACTGATGAATGTCTTAATCTGGGGGGGTTGTATATTCACACTCTAAGATAATCCTTATATGTGTAATACAATGGTGATTTTCTGCTGCTACAAGTGAGTGAGAGACCACTACCTCTTGCTGGTTATGAATATGCACTTTGACTTTCTCCCCTCCTTTTTTTTTATTTGTGAAATTTATTCAATGTGCAGTTTTATGGCATCTAGTTTTGGTACTGTCTCCCTCAACACATGATGTTTGTGTTGTCGAAAATCGAGATAAAGTGTGTGAACATGTGTGTGTGTGTCTATACACACACACAAGCGACTGGTGATTGAAAGCTATGGAGCATTTTGTGTATGTGTCATGGAGACCAGTCTTATACACTACCCTTCTATTTCATCCGTCCTAAAATTTTCTTCACAGTTACTATTTATATGATGAAATTTTTAAATATACGGAGTGTAATTTTTATTTTTAAATTTTATATTTATAATTAAATAAATTCTACTGAAAATAACTTCAATCAAACCTCATAAATTGAACTGAGAAAAAAAATATTAGGGCGAAGGAAGTACTAAACTAATATTCCATATTATAATCAAAAATTTAATTTATAAAAAAGTGTTCCTGTGTTAAATAGATAATTGTCTTTAAAAATCACATAGCTTACATTTAATATCCCTTTTTTGTTTTTTTCAATGGTAAAAGTGTACATTCACCAAAAAAAGAGTGAATTTAACTAAAATAAATAAACACAGGTTTTTTTTATGCCATCATCTCCGATGGAGCCAAAATTTCACCTGTTTTTGGCTTTGGGGTGTGATGGAATAAATCAAAATGGATATCTAAACTATTTGCGCTTCTTTAATTAATGAAGTAGCAGTTAATCAAGCAATGCAACTTTCGACGTTGAGCCGGGGGTCTCTTTGGAAACAGCCTCTCTACTTTCGAGTAGGGGCAAGGTCTGCGTACACACACCCTCCCCAGACCCTACTCTTGTGGGATTTAACTGAGTTGTTGTAAATAAACACAGGTTTTATTTCTCAGACAATTTGTGAAATGAACAGAATTTATCTCTACTTCAAAAATTGAATTCGAAATTTGAGATGTGGTATAAATATGATCTAAGCGGTATACATGTAAAAATTTCTCAGCCCATTGTCCTCAAGTCTCACATAAAAGATCATTTAAAAAAAAAAAACTAAAGAGATTGTTAAAGAGGTTTCTGTGAAGAGTGACTATCCCACAAGTTCCTGAAACACCAATCATAATTGCAGCATTCGTTTTTGTAGCAATGTCGTGACAAGCACAAATTTACAAGACTCTAACGTGTCGCAAATCTGTCACGCTAGAAATGCTGTAGCTATTTACATTCAAGAAAACTGCGGAAGATCTTGCTGCACAACCCGAAGAAAACCGCGCAAAACCAGTATAGGAGAGCGCGTACGATGATGCATCCCACGTTGGATTGTCTTAATAGGGCCACCAATCAGGGCCACCAGGCTTCTTCACAAGAATCTGATTATACTCCGGCCTTGAAGTCTGAGAAGAAAAAGTAACCACAAATGAGTTTGCATGAATTGCAATAAGAGCCACATCATATATTACAGTAGTGAAACTTCGAAACAATTTCTCAATCCCATTCCCTTTATCCCTGCCGAAACGTGCAGAAGCTGTTCAGCATTATCCATCGTTTTAATGTCAAGGTTTCATCCAACTATCCAAAATTGTTGAAACATAAGGAACCAACACTAGATAGAAAACCTATTGCACTGCAGTCCAATTACCAGTATAAGGCTCGTCTTTACTCCTATATAAGAATGTGTATTTTTCCAAATCATCTTATATATTTAACATATCCTGTTGTCTCTTATATTTGCTTCCTCTAACTAGCCGGTGATGCCCCACAGCAGCAATATCTCAATATACATCAAGTTTTAGGTGAGGTTCAAAAGGGAAATGGCCAATGAAATGCAATGAGGTACAGCTTCAGGTATGCAAACTTCGCATGTCGCTAGTGAAAAGTGAACTTTGATTCCCGCTCTAATCTCACAACAAATAATTGAGTTTGAAGCCACTTCTTGGTTCAAGCTCTACAAGGGAGAACTTCTGCCTCATTGACAGCAACTAGGTTTCAGTTGTTAAGACTTAAGAGGTGTGAATTAGCACTGAGAAGAAAAATGCAGGTTATGCAGCAGATTTCAAGTAGTTGCAATATGTTGAGTAATTCATGATCTTCGGTAAAATGTAAAAAAATACATCAATGTAGCCCCTCTGATATTTTAAATGGGCGTTTTAACTTCCTATGCAGGATGTGGGTGGGGTCCTGGGAAGCTATTTTGGCTATGTAATTACCTTTTTATCTTTCATTTAACAGTTTTTTGCATCCCTTCAATTCCCCTTTTCTAATCTCAATTTTTTCTCTTTTGGTTTGCAAAAAAAAACTTTCCATGGCTTCATCAATAAATAGAAGAAACTGTTGGTGTTAAACTGTTATATACTCTGTATTTAACAAGGAAGAGAATTGGTAATTATGCTCACATTGCCAATGGAGCTAAAAGAGTCACAATTGACAATGTTTTAGTTCCTGGCACATAATGGATCAAATCAAAATGGCAATTTAAACTTCTCTTTCTTCTTATTTATAAGAAGTTTTACGCAGTAAATTCAGGGTTAGACAGCAATGGATCTAGTGTCTAATGAAAATAACCTCTGTTTTTTCTAGGAATAAGACTGCATACATCTTGATCCCCAGAGCCCTTGTTAGGGGTGAACCGGGGGTCTTATCAAGTTGTTATTTTTGGAGATGGAATTGTGGAATAATGAAGGGAAATTGGCAAGATGAAAATATGGGAATGTGAAGGAGTTCTTTTTGCGTTTTGATATTATGAAGAAGAGTGGAAAATCAGGGATGAAGGATGGGTTTAGAAAGGATGGGATAAATTCCAAATAAGAAATAAGAGATAAACACACTCTTATCTTAATTTGGAGCCAAATTAATACTAAAGGATAAGCTCACCTCTAGATTAATTTGGGGTTAAACTCTAGTATTTAATTAAGATATGACACACTCAATTAAATAACTAGAACCTAAAACTCAAACTTAAGATAACCACTCTTAAGATATAGAATTAGGAATTTGGCTAAAATAGCATCACACTATTTTAATAATACTCAAAGAGTAAAATGTTTTAATATTCAAAAGGTTCATGTTACAATGGCCATATGGCCTGATTATATAGGCAGGGGAAGGGGAAAAACATACACTATACATTGAATGTGAATAAGAGGAAGCTTCCTAGCAACATCCACTTCAAAAGCATGGGGCATTCTCCATTCAATCCTGTCTCCTTAGTGGGATAAAACTCAGGGATGGGGCTGGTGTTGTGGGGATTTTGAGCTTTGGTTTGTAGTGGTTGTTTCCTGGGTTTTAAGGCTATTATTTGGGTAAATATGAGGGGTTGTGTTTGCTAAGAAAAGGGGTCAGGGATGGGGGATATAATGGGTGGTTTTGGACTTATAGTTTTGGGTTATTTGTGAGGGAACATGGGCAGGAAGTAGGGGCTGGAGGTGGGTCATGGTTTTGGCTTTTTGTGGGTGTTTATGTTGGGGTTGTGAGGTTTAATTGGCCAGGAAATAAAAGGAATGGAGGGAAGGTTTTACTTGTTTATTAAAAGGCTTAAAAGAAGGAAAATAACAACAAACAAAAGGTTTTGGTTTGCACACTCTTATTTTCGGCCAGGGGCTAAAATAAGAGTAATAAAAACTTTATTTTGAAATGAATTAAATAGCAAGGAGTTTTGGATATTTAGGGTTGGGTTGGACGGAGTGGGAGTCGGTCTGCGGAACCCTTCCGAAGTTATTCTGGCCGCTCGGGTTGAAGGACTCGGAATTCTCACTAAAACGGATCATAATGTTTGAACGTAAGTCCTTCGGTTTTTAAGATGGTGTGGGACATGGGGGAGGGTATGATAGGGCCAGGCCGGATATAACATCCCTACAGTGTTGCGATTATACTGGGTTGTTGTTCAAAATATCTCAGATGTAAGTATTGTTTCCCTAGTGTAGTTTAAGAATAAACATGGGGTTAAAGTTTTCCCAAAAGAGACATGTAAGTGTTAAACGCAAATTGACAAAGAGTGTGAGAAATGGTTTGTCATTGGTAGGAAATTGTGTAAATGTTAGAAGGTAATGCGAGTTGGGATTGGGAGCAGAATGTGACGTAATTTATGTCATTAAATTGTACTCGTAGCCATCTTATAGTGCCTAAGAAAGCTAAGATAGATCATTGCAGTGGCCCCCTAACATTACCTCAACCTTTATATGGGGATAATCCGAGAATCTCTAGGAATCTTGGATAGTCAGGTAAAAAATCGATACTCTAATCCAAAGAAGATAACTTCATATCATCTTTTTAACATTCCCAACAAGCCAACATAGTTTGGTATTACTTGAGATATATAATTATGAGATTCCAACCCAAGACCAATTGGCTATGGAAGCTGAATATATTACTGAATAGTTTTTTTTTTTGCTTGGGTATTTGATGCACTCATCATCACCCAAATGCCCCATAGATTCTTATCATTACTACTCACAGCCTATGTTGCACGGATTCTTAAAAAACATGTCATTTCCCATGCCCGAAATGTTTCAATTTACGTACTTGGGGGCAACCAAACACCCAAATCCTTACTAAAATTTGGAAAAGTTGGTGATTCTGTGTTCCCGACCATGTCCCCATCTCGATGCAACTAGCTCAGACCTTACCTTCAGTTATACTCCCTCCATCCTAAATTAATATGTGTGTTTACTATTCACAAAGTCAAACTTCATTCACTTTTTTTATATATTTGATACTCATTTGATAAAATAATATAGTTAGGTCACCTCAGAGCTTTTGATATAGTTTTCTAATATATAAATTATATTTCTTAATCCTGCTCTAGTTCTCTAATAAATTGGATTGAATATAACTTCGATCAAACATCACAAACCAAAACATGCAATTCAAATTATGACGGAAGGAGTAGCAGTACAGAAAATATACACTATAAATCAAGCTCATAGATCAGACATGTTCAAAATTATGCTCGATTATAGAAATTTACACAAACAATTTGAAGGTAAGAAGCAACATGATTTCTGCAATCCAAATGGAGATCGGAAAAATGGCTCACCAGATCTTTGAATATTACATATGCGATGACGAAGAAGAGGACGAAGAGGATCTCGAACTCGGCGAAACGAACGAACTCAAACACTTTGTTCACTGCCCGAGTCAAGAGCGAGGCCGACTCGTCCCTTCTTCCACCTCTTACCTCAAGCTTCGCCATCGAGTCTCTGATTTGCCAATATGGAGATCTAAACAATCTTAGACCAAAGAGAGCATGAATAAAACTAGAGTAAATTATATAAAAGGTCCCTTGTTATAGGTCGTTTTACATATTTAGTCCCTACATATCAAATATTACTAATTTAGTCCCCAATTATTATATTTATTTCCACGAATGGTCCTTTGTTAACATTTCCGTTAAGAACGTGGATAAAATTGTATATTCATATTTCTCTCTCTCCTCAATTAAGCTTTCTTCATCTTCTCATACTCTTTCCCAAACTTGTCGCTGAGTTTGAAGCTCTTAAACCCAAAATTTAAATGATCGTTCCTCCAGTTAGACAAACAATTGAGAGAAGAGTGATATTTTGGTTTAGGGTTCAAAGCTAGAAACTCAGCGACGGGTTTGAGAAAGGAGTACAAGGGAGGAGAAAGGTTAATTAAGGAGAGAAAGGAGTGTGAATTTATAATTTTATCCACGTTTTAATGAAAATGTTAACAAAGGACCGTTCGTAGAAATAAATATAATAATTGGAGACCAAATTAGTAATATTTGATATGTAGGGACTAAATATGTAAAACGACCTATAACTGGGGACCTTTTATGGAATTTACTCATAAAACTACTGTATTTTTAAAGGTAATATGACTAAAATATAATAACTTTCTGACTATATGTTTTTTTCACAATGTAGGACCATTGGTCATTATCCATTAGTCATTATTCAAGTAAATGTTCATCATCACTAGACATTATTCTTCTAGCTAGACATTATTACGTACTCTTTATGGATTAAAAAAGTTTAACTCCTATATTGAGAAATGATTTATGTTTTAGTCCTATTTAGTGCAATTTCACTATTTTCAAGAGTGTGAGCAAACAAGATGGATTTTGATATTTTCATATATCAAAATTCTTTTTTGGTGTTTGGTGAAACCAAAAAAGATATCGAATTTAATATCTTCTGATATTATAAATACTTCAAATGGAGAGTTTTAATATCTCTCAAATATGAACAATATCAATATGGGGATTTGATATCTCTCTCGATCGTTAATCACTCTTCGCCACCGGCTATCATTGTAACAGTCAACCACTCTTGTTGTCGATTACCCTCACTTATCACTAATTAAATCATGATTTGTAATTTCTTCAAAAAAATTGTTTCAGATTTCAAAATGCATATCATTTCTTCCAGATTTCATAACTCATATCTTATCATATCTCAAAAACTCGCCAAATGGATCCTAAGTATATCCCATTTGTACAGTCATTCAAATTGTTACAAAATATTAGTGCACAATGTTTTTATTGTACTAACTTTTTGTAATAGTGTAAACAATATAGACCAAATAGTGTAAACAATATAGACTAGTGTCAGGGAATAGAGTCAACAAAAATGCTAAAGATACACCAAAAGGTGTACCCAATTCTATTTGCAATCCCACCATACAGGCCATGTTTGGAATTTAGTTGTTGGCATTTGGTTGATAGCTGTTCATGTTGGCTGGTTTGAACGGCTGGTTGAGGTGGCTGCTTTGACCAATCGATTATGTTGGTTGTTGATAAAAAAATGTTTGGCAAACTTAGCTTCTTCAAATAACTTTTATAAATTTAATTTAATTTAATGAAATTTTCACCTATATAAGTATATGGTATAACATGCTTTGCAATATATATTCTTTCTCTCCTCAAATAAAATTTTAAGCTATATATTGTTCTAAAGTCATTATGATTTTATTTATTTATGTGTTTTAACCAATCAATTGATAGAATAATATAATTATACGGAGTATCATATTTTGTTTCAAAAAACTTTTGATGTAGTTCTCAAATTTATAATTTGTTTATTTCTACACCAAAATCTCAACAAAAAAATCAGAATTTTTTTTCTCGCAAATCGCTTCATGAAATTTACATGGGGAAGAACTATTTGTTATTTATATCTTTATTTATATACATATTATTTACTTATTTATTTTCTTGGTTATTATTTTATTTACTTATTTATTTATCGATCTTTAATTTATATATTTATTTGAATACCAATTTTTCATTTAATTACGCAATAAATAATAATTTTTTATTTATTCATAAAAATTACATACAGTAACAAATAAAAAAACCTATTTTCCAACAGCCAAACCGAAATGCTACTCCCCGTACCTTTTTAAATTTTGGCTTTTCAAGCACAAACAGCCAACTCTTGCCGCCAATTACCAAACACTTTTTTTGGCGGTTCGATCAGTCAAATCTGCTAAAATGGGTCAAAACAACCAAAAGTCATCCCAAATGCCAAAAACCAAACATGCTCACAATACTATTGTTGATAAAAAAAATACCCCGTAACAAGTAGATAAATAATGTATGTTGAATATTGATGGTGTACAAATGAGATACGCAATTTGGTGTACATCTAGCATTATTTTAAAGACAAAGTATCAAAGCTCCCTTTACTAAGATGATAAATTACGGGGTACTCTGGTAAAATGCCACATATGCTGTTAATCCTGTTTTGTTAAAGGGGGCAGAGAAAACGATTGAAGGGTAGTCTTTATGAAATTATGAAATTAGAATCTAAATTCATAAAATAATAAAGATGAAGGGAAATCTTTATCAGAGTATGAGCAAGAATCTTAAACGTAACTCATATAAATAATAAAGCCAATGAGATTCTCCAATAATAAATATTGAATTACTTTCATGATAATTTTTATAAATAATCGGTCTCAATATTTATAGAAGCCAAATAACTACCAATTCCTAAAATTTAGGCCAACTACCACATAACATAGTAACTACTCATAGACTTTATGCTGGCTACCACATTACTTAGCAACTACCACTACAAGAAATGGTCTGAATTGCAACGGCCAAATCCGTTGCAATATTCATCGTATTCCGTTGCTGATGGCCAATTGCAATGAAAATTTTGTTGCAAATTTTCCGTTGCAAAAACCATTGTTGCAGATTCCTTTTTGCAACGGATATTCCGTTGCATTAGCATTGCATCGGAAAATTGCAACAGAAATTGTCGTTGCAAGTATCTGCTACGGGAATTTGCAATGAAAATGACATTGCTAACTTCTGCTACGGAATTCTTGTTGCAACGTAATGCAACGGAATTTTGCAACTTCTTTTCCGTTGCATTATATTGCAACGAAAAATTGCAACTGAAATGCCATTGCTAAAGGTTGCAACAACATTTCTGTTGCAATGTGATGCAACCGAAATTTGCAACGCCTTTTCCGTTGCAGAATATTGCAACGGGAAAACGCAACAAAAATTCCATTGCAATATTTGCTACAAAAAAATCTTCATGTGCAACTGCAACAGACTATTCTGTTGCATAAGTTGAAAACAACCAACACAAATCGGACTACGTTCATCCTCAATTTTATGCAAGATTAACCACCATCAAATGTAACGAGTATACTCAAATTAAACATAATAAAACACATATGTATTCCACAAGATAAATAAGAGTTTCAATTCAATATTTTTCATATTCTAAAATAAGACTTAATGTACTCGTCACATAAAAAAATGTCTATTGTTTCCATTTAAAAAATTGAACTATTACACTAACATTGAGGAGCACTTCTGCCACTGTCTCCTCCGTCCTCTCTACGGGGCAAGCAATCTCCAAACAATCTATGCATCTCTACTATCATCGTTTGGGCAATAGGTTCACGGAGCATCTGGAAGAAAGCAGCTCAAAACACAGTGATCATATTTCTGAGTGTTTGTGCACCTAAAACTTTGGTTGTCAACTTCACTGGTCTCATTTCTTCACCAAACCTGATAGAATAAAGCACAACACAAATGACCATCATGTGGTAAAAACTACTTTACTTTTTAATTCCTTGATGAGGAATCATAAGCCACTCCACTGCAAAAAAAAAAATTATTATTAGAAGAAGAAAAATAAAGGAGTTTTTTATATTGCTTTTTTGCTAGGAAACATGTATGTATATCTCAATATCTCCTATAAAGTTGGGAGATCCAGTTGGGAAACACATGATTTAGTTAACAGTAAACTCATAGATATTTCATTTATAACAGTATACAAAATTAGCACATAGAGATAAGTTAGAAAACTGAAAATCAATACGCCCCTCCTTTCCTCCCCCAATATAAAAACACAAATAGATTACTCTCGTGGAGCAAAAATGGCTTGACTTCACAACTATCTCATGCCATGATCATAGAAAAACTATTAATACAAACCCTAGCTCTAAAATAGATGAAATGGTTGGGTGAATTCAGAACACGCACAGAGAAATTAGCGTGAAGCAACCGCATACACAATAAACCGACCAATTTCAACATACCTGAAACTGAAAACTGAGCGAAACAGATCGGGCAAGTCAAGCACGGTCTTCAGCAAATAAGCATCCATTGCACCGACTATTTATACATCCACTCGAAACTCCAGATGTTCCCTGGATCGGTCTCTATTCATACTGCAAAGCAAATATACACAAGAAATTGATAAGAATTGACAACTAGTTTGAGACGGATGAAGTATATAATAGACGAATGACATAAAAGTGTTTGGAGGACTATTTCATATATCAAATTGACAAAATGGTATTTCTAATCTTGACACGACTTTTTCAAATTTCACAAGCAAAACAAGAAGATGTAGTAGTGTAAGCTTTCTTCTCCAATCCACTCCCTAAATCATAACAAAAGACACCTACAAAAAGGCAAACACACGAATACAAAAACAAAGGATGGCTTCTATACATGAATGTCACTTTGAGAAAAAGGAGAACACTTAGGTCAAGATTCTGACCCCTTTCTGCTCCATTGTGCTAATTTTAATTTCCTCGAGAATGGAATAACATCTACAAATTCACACATAGAAATTCAAAGAATAATTGGAAAATCGGATAAATACCTAGTAGATAGGGGTGAAGTCGCCCTGGCCGCCGTCAATTTCCATCCGGCGAAGGTTGGATTCGGACCTTGCTGTTCGATGCAAACCAACACCTGAAACCGCATCCAATTCCTCTCGTCCGTCGATCGAGAGCTCAGCCGCGACTAGGGTTCGTCGTCCTCAGCCTTCGTCTCCAACCGTCCGTCGTCGCAAGCCTCCCGATCTCCAATCGTCCGTCGTTCTTCGTCCTCAGCCTCCCGATCCCAGCGTCCGCGTCAATTGAAGCGGAATCGCCGGCACTTAGATCCAAGAGAAAAAGAGGAAGAGTTGTGTTCCGTTTTTAGGTGGTGGTTTTTTAATAGTGTTGCTTATTTTATTACTCCTTCGAATTATTCTTTTCATTTGACTTTTTTGAGTCAAATTTTATAAACTTTGACTATTATTTAAGGAGAAAAATACATTGTATCACGATATAACTTTAATATGAATATATTCCTTTTGATATATATTTTCAAATATCAAATTTTTACAAAATATATCTATGCATAAATAAAGATATTAGTGGTCAAAGTGCAATCTTGGAGACCGTAAAAAGTCAAATGGAAAGAAAATTTCCGGACGGAGGGAGTATTTGAAAAGATTACTTTTATTGTTTTTAGGTTCTTTTATGAAAGGATTACTTTTATTATTTGATAAATAAAATATTTTTGTTACCTCTTATTTTGAATATATTTACTCAATTCATTTTGGACTCTATTTTAGACTCCAAATAAAAAAATTCAAAGAATTTTCATAAAAGAACAACGTTCAAAAAAAAATTAGACCCTAGCCAGGGGCTCTGCCCCTTGGACTCCGCTACCAGGGGGATGCCGCCCCCGGACCCCGCCGTGAAATTTTTAATGTTGTTGAACAAACATGAACTCCACACATCCTATTGATTAACTAGGTTATTCCTTTTTTTACAAGGTTTACTCAATTATTTGTATAATCTAATTAATTATAGTAATTAAAACAGCCGATCGATATCTGTGTTCTGAAGAGTTAACAATATACACTAATTAATAAAATCGCCAAAACTAATTAATGTCACTATTATAAATAAAATATATACAATAATACGAAATTACATAACCAATTCTACAAAACAAGTGGCATGACGATGACTATCTTATTTTATGAAATGTTAAGATGAGTACGTTGATTTGGTCAAATTTATCTAAAATTTAAATAAATCATATAACTCATTTTTTAGTTTCATTTACTTTTTAAAAGCTTTTTCTAAAAATTACTTTTAGTTTCATATTTTTAGTTTCAATAACTTATTTTTTTAAAAAAAACTTTAAGAACTGTAGCAAGAACTTTGTAACGGACACTCTGTTGCAACTATCTGTTGCGAACATATTACAATGGTAATCCATTGCAAAAATCTGTTGCAAATAAAATACAACGGAAACATCGTTACAGAAATCTGTTGCAAAAAATTTACAACGGAAAATCAGTTCTAAAAATATGTTGCAATTAATCTGCAACGGAAAATTATTGCAAGAAAGTGTTGCAAATAATGTGCAACGAAAACATGGCTGCAGAAATCTGTTGCGAATACTCTGCAACAAAAACCCGTTGCAAAAATCTGTTGCATAACGTTCCCGGAAAATGGCGCCAAGCTCCCGCCATAATTGCAACGCATTTTTTCACTTTCCGTTGCAAAAATTCCGTTGCAAAAAAAATCTGTTGCAAATAAAATTACCGTTGCAATTATGCAATGGAAATATGTCTGTTGCAATATTTCGGTTGCAAAATTGATATTTTCTTGTAGTGTACTCCTAGAATTTAGGCTCACTTGCACATTATTTACTAAGTAATTAACATATATAAAATAAAACACTTGACCTCATAAACAAATGATCCTAACTATCTTTATTATAATTATCAATAATATAACATGATTAACAAATATATGTGGCACTCTATCATCCTCTGTACTCTTGTATTCAACCATGTTAGGAGTACACCAAGAAGTGTACCCCAAATCATACTCTAAAGAAATGCACCAACATTTTAACAGTTCACACTGGCACAAAATGTCAATTCAATTTAAAAAAAATTGTACTGTCACTTTGTGTCATTGTAAACCATCAAACTAGCATTACACTAACATTAAATGTTGGTGTACGCCTTTGAGGTACAAAGTGGGATTCAATTTTTGAGGCACACATGCTTTAATTTAATTCATTCAAAAATATAGAGTAATTACATACACTACTATGTACCCATTTTTTGTCGCGCTGAAGTAGTTTTGTCTTGCAGTCTTGTCGCAATATCAATAGTTTATCATACAGAAATCATCCAAAATAATAACAAAATATAGTCTATCTGGATAAACATTACATATTTTTATTCACAAAATAAAATTATTGTGATGTGATAAGAAGTATTATTTATTGGTATTTCATAGTATATTATATGTAGATATTACTATTTTAAATAATAAGATTATTGTCTTATTCTCATGAGGTTTCCATTTATTCATACAAGTACACATGGAACCCACGGAGTACACATTTCCTTTATTACAAGCCAACCCAAAATAAATAATCTTTGGAATAACGTAACGTTGACTTAGTCGTTGCAGTTGACGAAGCTGTAGTTGACTGTGAGGTGGCCCTGACGGACCCCGTCTCCGTTAGTGTCCAATTGGTTAAACACATTCACGTCCAAATCCAACCCTCCGTTCGAGCACTGGTCCACGATCCTCACCGTTGCTTGAGTGCCCGTTGCCGTGTTAGTCACCTGTTTTAAAATTTTGTCAATGCATGGTAGATATTAATTGCAAAAAAATGTTAAAATTGAACGATGTCGTTTGATAATAATGTTAGTCAATGATGAAATGGTTGTCAAACAGATCAAGACAATATTTATACGAGTAGTAAATAATATATTCTCTATGACAAATTATACTCTGATGTATTTGGATGTACCGTATATTTTCCTATACATTCAAAAAAAAATCACGTAACATATAAACGTACATGTATCAATTTTGTGGTTTGCATGTTGGAACATATAGGTCATTAAAAGTCAAATATTCTTTCGTGAAAGTAAAATAACTTAATTAAATGATAAATAAATCATTTGCAAATATTCATAAATGGTGAGGAACAATTTTGTAAATAATCTAGTCAAAATAGAGAAACGAAAAAACTGGCTTAAAAATAATTAGCTAATACCTACTTTTTTTTTTAGCTTATAAGCAGCTTATATAAGTCAACTTATAAGCACAAAGAAACATGTCATCAGCTGACTTATAAGTTAAAACTGCTTATAAGCAATTTTGATCAATATATAAGTACAGAGAAATGCCCACAATATAACCATGCATGTCACATGTTATCCTGGGATAATAGATAAAAGGGAATTTACTTAAATAGCACTAAAACATAATGACCTCCCCTAAATAGTACGGAGTATTATATTTGTTTTCTTCTCCCAATGTAGTACTTTTAGTCATTATTCAAGTAAATATTCACCATCACTGGATATTATTCCCCCTTCTGGACATTATTAAGTGCTATTTAAGAACAAAATAATTTAAGTACTATTTAGATAAATGACTTAAGTTTTAGCGTGCAAATATTTCATACATAAATATTACGAGGAATCACAATCACTCACACTTAGACACTTTCCGCAGGCAGCTTGGCCGGATTGCCCGGCGGGCCCACAGAAGGCAGTCCAACCATACTTCTGCCGCCACGAAAGCGGCCTGCCGGCGTCGGTGGTCGCGCAGAACATGCTCGCTGTGTTGTAATCCCACCCGATGTTCTGTGGGTTATAGTTGTTGTACGTCGCCCTAACGTTGGTGGCGCTCTGTGCCGCCGCACCGGCCGCCATGAGCACCACCGCGAGAAGCGCACAACCCGCCGTCAGCGCCGCCGCTCTCCCCGCCCCCATTGTTTTTGTATATATCACTTTGACGTATTATTATTGTAGTATGTAATTGATGTGGTCTATATTTGAATTGTGATGGAGCTATACATATATGGTGGGGTGTATTTATAGTACTCCCATCCGGGGTTAAATGGTAGCCTAACTTTAGCGGATAAGGGTAATGCTCCCAAACAACTAGAAGTACACACACTTATTATTTGTACACTTTTCTAAATGAAGAAAATAATTTTAAAATATTTATTTTTAAATGTTTTTTGAAATTTAATGTTTATGAAATATTTAATTTATATTTTTAGTTTAAGTAATTTTAATTAAAATAGATGTAAAACAATATAAAAAGAGAAAAGAGAGGGGAAGTAAGGGATCCACATGCTCCTCAATTTAATTACCCCAGAGTATGAGATAAATAAAAAATAAATATTCCCTCCATCTTAAAATGATTTTCCCATTTGATTTTTCATATATGGTCAAAGTTTGTAAACTTTGAATGTGATATGTGGAAAAAATACATTGTATTATGATATAAATTTATATCAATATATTTCAATCCAAACGTGGTTTTGAAATAACAAATTTTTATAAAATATATCTATGTATAATATAAATATTAATGATCAAAATGCAATATTGGAGAGCGTAAAAAATCAAATGTGAAAAACATTTCTGGACAGAGGGAGTAAGAGTTTGAATTTATTTTGAGAGCCCATTTGGGTGCTGTTGTTTTAGGTTGAAAATTTTGACTTTCCAACTTTTTAAAGTTCTTCCAGTTTCCTCTCATTTTTTTTAATTTTTTCCAACATTAATTTAAAAAGATATTTATATATGATGAATATACAAAAATATTATAAATCCAAATTTATGATATACTATCTCAAATATAAACAAGGATGGTTTTTTGTCCAAAAATAAAGTTGTCTTACATATTTATTTGAGTGATTATTTTTTTAACATTTAAGTAATTATTTAAGTGAGTGACTTTCTAACACTTTAATTTTTCTATTATTTTCCATCGTCTCTTTCTATTCTTTTCCAATTTATTACAATTATTTCCAATCTCGAACTCTGAAATTCAAATAATATAAAGAAAGGGCCGGGGACCTTAATTGTATAGATCTACTGCTATTAAACTACTCCCTCCGTTCTCTTTAAACCCTTCCACTTTTGACTTTGGGGGAAAATAAGGAAAGTATAATTTTGGTTGACTTTCCAATCTTACTCCTGATGTGATGGGTAAAAGTAAGATGTGATAGTTTGGTTATTAGTGTAAAAATATGATGTGATAGGCATTAGGTAGGGTATGAAAAAGTAGAGGCAAAAGCTGTTTTTTAATAGAAAGTAAAATTGTTTTAGGAAATTCAAAAAAACGAAAGGAGACGAGTTTTATGGAACGAAGGGAGTATTACTTTGACAAGTTGAGTCAATTACGAAAGTACTATTGACTTTTATAATATCATTCAATTCAATGCTTCACGCGTCACGTTTTATTAACTGCATGAAAATGTTTGATTTTTATGCAAACTTCAAAGTTTGAATGTCTCACAATTGAAGTCGGGTGGCCAATGATACATTTTGAGACTTTCTGTGTACTGTACTTATTGATTTAATATTTATAATAAACAGTTTTTTATAAATTGTTTCTATGTTAAATGTTCTTTTGTGAAAATAAAATGATCTTAAATGGAGAAATAAAAAAACTAACTTCAACATAAGTAGGTGAGTCCTATTTTTTTATTTATAAGCAACTTATGTCCGCTTATAGCACCGAAAAATATCATTTGTATTTAGGAATTTTATTAGAATTGAACTTGAGCTGATGTTTTGATTACACATAAACCTGTTATTTATAATAACTACTAGAGTACTAGATGATTTAATTACTAGCCCATCTATCTTGGTCTAATACTAAACTTAATGTTGGGGAAATAGAAGATAACACGAGTTTGTTTGAGAGTCGTGCACACACTTCCAGATTGATTATTTGGGCGTTCACTCCAAAATCAATCAGATAAAACTCAAACTTTGTTGATTTCGAACAAATATGTGTTGCGATGAATCCTTCCAACTCTGAATTTATGACAAAACTTTGCCGGGGTTTTATAGAAGCGGAGAGAAGAGATGTGCAGTCGCGTCTTCTACTTTAAAGTTCGTGTCTAATCGCGCGAAACTTAGAAGTGGCAATTTTTTGAAATTCTGTTTATACCCAAATTCCAAAAATTAAAAATTCAAGTGAATTTTTAACACAACACTTTGTCCAAAATTTTTAACACAACACTTTGGATCCCGTAGGGGCTACCACCTCTTGAACCCTGCTCGGGAGCGCTGCCCCCGAACCCCGCCAAGAGGCCAGCGCCTCCTTGGAACCGCCATTAAAATGTGACTTCTATCATAACAAACTCAATTAAGCGTGCACCTGTACCATCAAATTTTTTTGATAATTATTATGATACTATTTGTCAAATAATTATTCTAATTACACTAAAATATATAAAAACACTTAATACCACGTAGCACACACGTTGTTTCCAGTAGGGCTCAAACTTATGATCTCCCTTTGGTTGAGAGTCATAATGACATCACTTGAGAGTCATAACGATATTTTGTGGAACACAAAGGAAGGTTTCGTGGTCAAGTGATATTTTGAAATCTACTTTTTTGATGCACTGTTTTGCTAGAGATAGTTTGTATCGATTGTTGAAGTACTTTATACTTTAAATTTCGATTGATACACAGAATTCAAATAGTGAAATTGAAATTGAAGAAAACAATTTCAGTTTTGTTGTTTGGTAGCACAAAAATATGTGAATTTGGAATTAGTTGTGCCAAAAATGAATTGAAATGAGAGAATTCAATTTCATCCAAATTAATTCCATAGAATTTCAACTCCCAATGTGATTCCAATTTTCCAGCTTCTTAACACTTCATAGAAAATGATGTTCTATGGAATTAATTTGGACCCTTTCGTCTCTAGGTTTCTACGCAGCATTCTCATATTATGCATTCTCATTATATGAAAATTTCTTGTCCAGCGTCATAAAAATGATAGATTTACTGGAAAGAGTAGATTTTCTTACGTAGCATTCTCATATCATGCATTCTCATAATGTTAAATTTTCCGATCAAGGTCATAAAAAACAGTGGATTTACCGGAAATTTCTTGTCATGAAATTTTCATTCGATCCAGTGTCATAAAATTTTCGTCTCTAAGTTCCTATGTAGCATTCTCATATTAGGCCTCTTTTGAGAAAATAATGAACACATAAATAAATAATTTGTATATAAATCACACAGAGTATTATATATGTGAAATATTTTTAAAGATAATTTAATCTATAAAAGATGTTTATAAGGTTATCTGTAGTGTCTCACCACTTAGAGCAACTCAGATGGTAAGAGGTATCTTGGGGAGGTATATATCTCATTTACCTCTCCAAATGATCAAGTTTACCTTCCAAAAAAAGTGTTTAACTCCAATGGGGGGAAGGTAAATCAAAAGGCAACAGAGGGAAAAAATCCATCTCCATACATTATTGGGAAAAAATTAGTTGATTTACCTTCTTAAATCAAATTTTAATTATTAGAAAAGAAAATATACATTCTTAAAAAATCATGGGGAGGTAAATTTGAGGTTTGTTGCCTTTGTATCTTCTTGATTAAATTTTTAAATTTAAAGATTTTATAAAAATACAACTAATTTATTGGAAAAAAAATTAGAATGTCAGTTTTGAAATAATTAAATATACATTATGTCTAATTACACATATAAAATTATAAATACCCGAATAGAAAAAACTTAAAAATACAGAGTGCAAAATTAAAAAATAAAGTATCCTTTTTTTTGTTAATTCTTGACTCGGTAAGTTTTACAATGACAAAGATACAAATTAAAAATTTATAATAATACATTCAAGCAAAAATACAATAACTAAAGTAATTGATGAAATACATTTAAAAGGTGGGAAAAATTGATATACCTCCCCAAATAAAGAAGATAAAGATACCTCTTCAAAATTGAAGAAGGTATAATACCTCCTTATTTACCTCTCCCATTGGAGAATGATTTTTAATGAAAAGAGGTATATATCACAAATATTCCTCTTAACCCTTTCACATACACCTTCCATTGGAGTTGCTCTTACCGATCACTTCAAATCAGCAATTACTTAGTGCCACATTAGCACTGACTGTACTCATCATGTCACTCACTTTACACATGTAATGCCTCAACACCACTACATTGATTACCCTTTTATTTATTTTTATAAATAGTTACCTTTTAATATTCGAATTAAATTATACTCCGTATCATTTATAAATTAATAATGCAAAATAATACAAATTTGTTTTGTTATTATTATTATTATTATATTTTTGTTGTTATTATTTTTTCATTATTAATTTTTTTCCTTTTTTTAATATTATACTCCCTCTGTCCAAAAATTTGTTTCCCGGCTTAACTTGGCACGGAGATTTAGAATAATTAAAAAGTGTAAAGACTTTGCATGTATTGTCTTTGATGTGATGGAATAAAGTACTCTAAATAATATAGATAAAAAGTGAGGATATAATGATATATTCATTCAAAGTTTTTTGTCAAAATAAGAAATGAGTAACGGAGGAAGTAATAAATTATTGCACCAAAAAAAGATAATTAATTAAAAAACATATACTCCATATATTACATGAAAAAAGTACGCAGATGCATTATTTAAATAAGGAAAAAAACACATGAAAGGAAAATATGGAAAAAAATGGTAGAAATTACATTAAATAAGGCCTATTTTCATATCATGAATTCTCATAACATTAAGTAAATGTTTCTTTGTGCTTAGAAGCTGGTCAAAACTTATTATAAATAGTTTTTAACTTATAAGTCAACTGATGACATGTTTCAATGTATTTATAAGCTGACTTATAAGCCAAAAAAAACAAGTAAGTTTTATTGTAGGGCACGGTTCCGTTATAGTCACACATTTGGAGGGGGGCTTAGGCAGGGTTGGGGTGTGAGGGTAGGGATGGGGCTAGGGTGGGGGATTTAGGGGGTGGGTTAGGGAGGGTAGGAACCATCAATATTCCGATTGAAGTACCGAAAGTGCTCCAAAAATGCAGTGACA